TTTTCCCACTCCCTCTACCGTTACCCCCTTCCCCCCCACCGTATTCCAACACGGAAACCAGACTGTTGTTGCCTTGTCGTTTTTTCTCTCGCCTCCACGCGCCTTGAAATAGTGATGTCGGCTCTTTTGCCCTCACAAAGGGCTGGAAGGGCCGTCCCGTGCCGAGCCGAGCCGCACCGCGCCCACCGGCAGTTGGTATCGCACTCTGGTCTCTTTGCCGCTGGCTGCGCCCCAACCCCAACCCGCCCCACCACGGCTACGCCCCATTATACTTCACACCCTTGGACCGCACTGGGGGCAGCCGGCGAGCGGGGCAGCTGCTGCCTGGAAATCTATTAGAAAATGGCAGAAGCAACAGAGTGGGATCGTGCTCGTCGGCAACGTACGACCACACAACACTTTGATACCGTAGGTTTCCATAGACCTGTGGTTTTCACGTAGGTATACGCCGACATTGGCTTCAGATGTAGCTAACCTTTCAAAATCCTTGGGCAATGCAGCCAGCCAGGGGATGTAAGTGCAGAATCACTTTTGGTGCGATAAGCTCGTCGAGGAGCTCTTGCCACATGGGGGTGCATGCACTCCGGGCAGGCGAGGGGGGGGGGGGGGGGCAGGTCACCCCAGCGTCCCACCCTCCTTGCCGCTTGCTTCCCACAGTCGCACCGCAGACGGCACGTTTTTGGCTCGACGGATAGGGTTAGATAGGAAGTCGGTTAGGTCCCACGCACGGCCCCACGGCCCCGGGCCTGGGCCCTGGCGACATGTGGTGCATGCCGAGCGAGCTCCTGGTTGTGATCACGAGGAGCGCATGGGCTGCATACAATGCCACTTGTTAAACGACGCATCCGTGTCGTGGCGGCGGTGCTTACATAAACCTGGTGTTAGGTGAGTCACTGTTAGTACCGCATTAGGGGCCGTTAGTCATCCGACTTACGTTGCAGCAGGTTCTTCCAGCTGCCGGAGAGAGCCTTGAGGCAGCGCTGCAGGCCCCGCGGCTCGTGGGGGTCCAGGCCGAGGCCGCCGTCGGAGGCGGGCCCGGGGGCGGGCATGGCGAGGTTGCCCTCGGAGCGGCTGCGGCGCAAGCCGATGCGGCCGACCTGGCCCGCGCGCGGCGAGGCGCTGCGGCACAGCGTGCCCCCGGCCGGGGGCGGCGCCTGCCGGGGAGCGGGGGCGGTGCGGCCGTGTCGGAAGGTCGGGGGCGTGCCCGGCTTGGGGGGCAGCAGCAGGGGCGGCGGCGGCGTGGGCGGCGTCAGCAGCGCGTCCGTGGTCAGCGAGAGCGTGCGCGCGTGCTTGCGGCAGCGGCGCCGGCCCAGCGGCGTCGTAGGCGACGCCGTCCACACGGCCAGCGCCGGCGGCTCCCTTCCGGACGGGGGCGTCGGGGGTGACCCGGGCGCCCATAGGTTCGGCTTGAGCGACGCCGGGGGCGGGCGCGGGGGCGGCGCGGCAGGCTGGTGCTGCTGCATCAGCTTGGGCATCTGCAGCGACAGCGCGGGCACGCGCAGGGGCTGGACGGTCGGGGGCAGCGGGGGCGGCGGGGGTGGGTGCGCGGCCCTGGACCCCTTTTTGCTCTGCTTGCCGAGTACGGCATGCTGCTGCTGCTGCTGGTCGTCTTGGTCGTCGCGGAAGCTCTTGTACGTCGAGGACGTGTTGTTGTTGCTATCCTGGAGCTGGTGCTGCTTGGCGAGCTGCTGCTGCAGCAGCATGTGCTGGCGGCGCTGTCGTCTGCCGGCCAGCCCGCCGACCGCGGCCCCCAGCGCGCCGCCGGGCCTCTTGTTGGGGGGCAGCGGGGGCGGCCCGAAGCACGTCGCCATGGTGGTCAGTACCGCGGCCTCACAAAGCTGCAATGGCGGACACACGGCACGTAAGGGGCGCGCTCGCTCTTCTCTAATCTCAAACGAGCCATCCGCGCCGCGTCCCGGAGGCGGGCGGGTGGCGCGGGCGCGTCGCCGTCGGAATGCAGCCTCATCAGACGTAACGCCGCGGGGCGGGGAGGGGCGCGTTCAAACGAGAACAGTCCAGGGCGCGGCGCGAAAGGAACGCAGACGGTGGAGACGCTGCTGCGCCGTCGACCCCGCGCGGACACAAGCGCGCCTCTCCACCCCCCACCCCTGCGCGCCCTGCCGCGCCACCCTCCGCGATGAACGCGTCAGATAGTCCGCGATGCGGTCGCTCCCCTGGTGCGGGGCAGGGGCGCAATGGTGCGGAACAGACCCGCCCGGCAGCAGCCACACACACTCACATACACACACACTACCAAAATTATAAGCATGTTGACAAAGCAGTTTCGGCCCCCGGCACAGTTTATGTCGGCCACAAAAATCAGTATACGCCAACGCTTTATGCTGCAGTAAAATTTTGGCGCAGTACGTAGTGGTCTCTGGGGGCCCCTCCTCCTCTGCCTGACCGACCGGCAGCACCCGGCTGGGGCCGCCAGCGGCAGCAGCGCGCCAGAGCGTGGTGGTGGGCGCGCACCCCCCGGACCACCAAGGGAGTAGAACACCACGCCGAGCTGCGCTGGCACGGGCTGCGCAAGGGGTGCGCCCACCCGCAAGCCCCTGCTGGGGACAGCCCCGGAGAGCATCATCAATATTTCGGTGTAAGGGGACCCGGCGCCCCACGGCAAACCCGGGCTCTTCCACTCACTCCACTCTCCGTGCCGGCCGTTATGACGCTGGTGGCGGGTGGCGGGCTATCTGCCGCTGCAGGGCGCGCCGACCAACCCCGCCGCCACCTGCGCCCGGCCCGCCCCCGTCCCGCCCCCGGCCGGGACTGATACAAAGAGGTGGACAATGGGCCGCCAGGGGCGTACAGGGGCCGGCCGGGCCAGGCAGGCCGTCAATTGCACACGCGTGACGTAAAACTAAGCGAAGCGGAGGGCGGAGGAGGGGGCCGAGGAGGAGCAGGTACAGGTCGCCCCGGGGGCGGGCCGAGGGCGGGCACCATGGCCGCCGCACATGTATAGGGAGTATATAGGGGCTCAGCCGGGGGAAAAAACAGGTGCAGCAGCAAGGCGGCGGTGCGGTCCGCCCCCAGGCAAGGCCGAGACTCGCCCCCCGCCCCGGGCTCCAGAACAGCAACCCCCGCTGGCACCGCGCCAACAGCAGCGGCTCCGAGAGAAGAGAAGGGAGTCTCGGCAGCAATAAGCTTTCAATCTGCCCCCGGCCGCAGCAGCCATAGGCCGCAGCCTGCGCGAGCCTTGCGCCCTCTGCACAGTGTTTGTCGCGGCGGGGCGGAGTGGAGAGATATTACCTGCAGTGGCCAAGGAACGTGCTCGCATCTCTTATTCATGCCGGTGAGCCGCCCCGCCCCGCCCCGCCCCGCGCGGCCACCACGCCCCGCTCGGACGGTGCCAATATTTCATGCCTACCCCTAAGTGCAGCTCCCCGTAAAGTTTAGCCTAATGCACCGGGCGGAGGCGATTCTGCCGCCGCCGCTGGAGGCGAACAGGACAGAGAAGCGCCGCCGACCCGTTGGACCCGGAGCGGTGGTGAGCACCACTCCCGGGGGAAGACGGCCAAGTAGATGCACTCCTCCATGATGAGCACGCCACGGAGGAGCTGCTGAGCGCATCATCCACGCTCAAGTGTTTCCCAATGCAGCGGAGCAGAGCACCTTCTTCGTCTACTCGGGCGAAAACGCGCCAAGCGAGACCCCCACCCCCTCCCCCCTCCCTTGGACTCCAGTTCCTCCTCCATCCCCTCCCCGCCGCCGCCGCTGCTGCACATTGTGGTGGACTGCAACAGAATCGCGTCCGCCCGGCACAACAGAGCCAAAGGGCAGGACAATGGGCGACGCGATGCCCTCGGTCCAGCGGAGAGCAGGGAGGAGGAGGGAAGAATCAGTCTCGCTTCCGGCCGCCCCCCTCCAACTCCCCTCCAATCTTTTCAACCCCCGGCGGGGGCGGGGGACGGCCCCCGGGGGCGGGACAATCAGAGGGAAACCGGGTCAGGTGCGATACACACGGCGCGGTGCCGAGCTGCCGAGGGCGCTGCTTTGCGCTGCTTTGCTGTACGCTGTTATTCGGCGCGCCCTCCCCACTTCGAGCACCCCCTGTTTGTGGATCACACCGCCGCGCCCAGAGGATCCTCTCTCGCGCGCGCTTCCTCCTCTCCTTTCGTTCCTCACAAATTAAAAACTTGTTCTCTCTTTTTGGCGCGCGGCGCGGCGTGGGCCTGCTCTCAGTGTGGAGCGGGGAGGGTCGGGCGGCCGCAGCGCGGCGAGGCCGAGGCCCTCCCGGATGGAAGCCAGGAGTGGCGGCGGGTCAGATTGTCGCGGGGTGAAATGAAAGGTTCTGCGCGCAGGGTACGGCGGCGCAGCAGCGCAGCAACGCGGCGGGCTGTATGGTCTGCTCATCCTTTTGAAAAGGAAGCCTGCTGCCCTTGCTACGTCTTACCCCCCCCCCCTCCCGGGCCCGCCCCTTCTTGTAAATTGACACCCGGCCGCTGCTGCTGCGCCCGGAGCGGGGCTCCCTCCCCCTCCCTGTAGGATCCCCATAAGGCTCCTGCAGGGCATGGGGCCACCATGGGGCACGCCAATGGGGACGAATGGGGAACACCAATGGGGCACACCGAACAGTCGTGCGGATCGACTTACATAATAAAGACTCGGAGGCAGGGGGTGGGGGTGGGGGTGAG